GGGCAGGGGCGGTACTGTACAAAGTTGTACAGAATTTGTTTTATGAAAGGACGCTTCAGGGCGCAGGTTTGCAATGAGGTAAAAGTCTGTATCAAACAAGTTTATGGTAAACAAGGTGAAGCATCATGGTGAAGCAAATAAAATGAAATGCTGTGTCATGTTGTTCCCAACATTCACTGGGAGGTTCTTACAGTTAAATATTGTGTACAACATTATAATGTGGTTAATTATGTGTGTATGATAGGGAATTATATTAAAAATGTTTATGTGTATAAATTCCACAGGAGTAAATACCAATAGGAACTTCATTGTATGTGTTTGGAACTTTATGACTTTCAAATGGGGCTTGCTTACCTTCCTGGCAGCGAGAAAGTTCAGAAAGATTTATTACGAAGTAGATCCTCAAAGTCGTGGATTGGTGCAGAGTGCATAACTTAAGCAGACTACATCATTGCTAGCTCCTGACATATTGACATCAATCAACCCTAAGATGACCTTGGTGGGAATAATGAACTACTACTAACAGTAAATAATAAAATGTATGGCTAATTGCTAGGTCCCAAATGATAAATACAGGCTGGGTTATTTGCACCTTTTTCGTCGTTGAATTTGATAGGGAGAATTCAAGCCCTGGAAAGTCCTTGAAGAGTGAATTTCAGATGCATGAAATTCCTGGAATTTTCATAAGCTTTGCAAACTCCAAAATGAACACTGAAAATAAGTCTAGCTTTTATTGTGCAACTGTACTGATTTGTAGCGTATGAATAACAGTGACTTGAGTCACGAGTATGACAACTCCAAAGTGTTTGTGCTTGAAGAAACCTGTATTCGTAGTCCTCTTAGCTTCCTTGAGGGCACTTAACCAGTGGCAGGTCTAGGGGAACGGCCTGGAAGACCTGCCCCACCTTTATTTTTGGTAACAAAAGAAGAAATCACAGAAGGAAGAAAAGCCAGCAGGGCAAGCAAAACAAAACTGCCCCCACNCCCCCCCCCTCCTTAGCTCAAGGTCTGGATCTGCCACTGATAACACAAAGCCCAGATCAAAGTTGGTTGAGCATTTCAGAGTGTAGCAACACTGTATATTTTTACTCGTCTTCCCTTGTACTTTGTATTTTGACTCGCCCTGCTGGTTCTTTGGGACTGCAGTGAAAACCTGTAAGAATATACCTTAATACTAAACTTCATCAACGTTGTTGTTTATTACAGTTTGCAGTCAACTTTTGACACACATCAATTTACTTTAGGCAGAAATCAAACCTCTGCCTCCTTCATTACTAATCAATTTATTAGTTTTTGTGATCACTACAAAGTCAATTTGTTCTTTAGGTGAGAATGATTTCAACCTAGATTAATTGTTTCAACCTACAATCTTGGACAAAATAAATGGAACACCTGGACCACCCCTCCCC